GGTTCGATTCCGGTCAAGGGCATGTACATTGGTTGCAGGCACATCCCCGGTAGGGGGTGTGCAAGAGGCAGCTGGTCGATGTTTCTCTCTCATCGACATTTCTAGCTCTCTATCTCTCTCCCTTCCTCTCTGTAAAAAATCAATAAAAAAATATTACAAAAAAAAAAAAAGAAAAACATACAAATCCTAATTAAAGGACATTTTATAAAATATTTGATCAGGCATCAGAAAGAGACTTTGCTTGGGATGATGGGCACACAGTGCAGTGCAGATGATGTTTTATTGAGCTGTACACTTGAAACCTGTATGGTTTTGTGAACCAATGTCACCCCCAATAAATTCAATAAAAAAATATTTGACCAGTACTCCTCCAAACTGGCACGATAATAAAGAACAAAGGATGTCTCGAAGTTAAAAGGAGCCTAAAGAGACGTGATGAGGAAATGCAAGGTGGTGTCCTTGCAGGTCCTGGAACAAAGGACATTAGGTAAGAACTATAGGAAATTAAGATGAAGTATGGACTTTAATGAATAACAATGCATCGATACTGATTCACTAATTGTAACGTATGCAAGATGTTGATAGAAAAAAACTGAGTGTGGGGCATATAGGAAATCTTACCATATCCTTGTAATTTTTCTGGAAATCTAAAACTGTTCTAAATAATAAAGCTTATTTTTAACTTCCTCCCCAACTGTCTCCTTTATTCTCCTGACTCTGTCAGTCACTTAACTTCTCTGAATTCCAATGTGCTTATTTTGGAAAAATAGGGAGATTATTTCTAATCTTTGCAACCACAATCAATAACAACACTCTAAGTTAGTGAACTTTCACTGGGTCCTGAATTCTGTGCTGAGCACCCTTTGCATGCATCACCCCATGAAACCACCACAATGACCCTATGGGCTGGGACTGTCCTCTTCCCTGTTTGCCCACCATGGAAACGGGCTGCCACTAGACCCAAGTCACAGAGCTGGTTAGTGAAGGTAAAATCCACACTCTGGCCTGTCTGATGCAAAAGGCTCTAAACCTCTGTCTTTCACGGGCTCCTCCTTCCTTCTTCTCTGCCCATGGGCAGATGCTGCCCACCTCAAAGTCTGTTTTGAAAGATCCACCCTCCCCACCCCCACCCCCACCCCCTGCAACTGCTTGTAAGTAAGCATTCTCCCTAATTGAGCTCTTAAGATCTGCTTCTTTGGCTTTCTGATGAGGAAGGCATCACCAGTAATGACAGCAATAATTCCATGAGCACTTAGTCTGGGCAAGGCACTGTTCTAAGAACAGGGTGCTTATTAACTTAGTGAATTCATACAGTAATACTATGAGAAATCATTAAAACTCCATCTTCATACATTTTGGAGGGAAAGCAGCCACTTTGGAAATAAGTTTGGCAGCTCCTCAAAATGTTAAACGTATGACCCAGCAATTCCATTCCAAGGTACATACCTAAGAGAATTAAGAACATGCATTTGTACAAAAACTTATAGTCACAGTAGTATTATTCTTTTTTCTAATTTTTAAAAAATATATCTTATTGATTCTTCACAGAGAGGAAGAGAGAGGGATAAAGTGTCAGAAACATCGATCAACTGCCTTCTGCACACCCCCCACTGGGGATATGCCTGCAACCAAGGCACATGCCCCTGACCGGAATCGAACCCAGGACCTTTCAGTCCGCAGGCTGACGCTCTATCCACTGAGCCAAACAGGTTTTGGGAGTAGTATTATGTTTAATAGTTGAAACAACTCAGTGTCCATCCACTGAAGAATGGGTAAACACAATGTGGTCTTATCCATACAATGGAATATTTAGCAATAAAAATAAATTAAGTACCACCCCGGCCAGTGCTGCTAAGTGGTTAGAGCATTGGCCCTCACACTAAGGATCGTGGGCTCGATTCCTGATCAAGGACATGTACCTGGGTTGCAGGTTCAATCCCTGGTCTCGGTCAGGGAGAGTGCCAGAGGCAACTCATGTGTCTCTCACATCAATGTTTTGGTCTCTCACACCCTCCCACTCTCTAACAACCAATGGAAAAAATATCCTCAGGTGAGGATTACCGAACAAAAATAAAACAAATAAACAACAACAAAAATTAAGTGATACAAGCTACAACATGGATGAACCCTGAAACAAATAAATGTAAGTGAAATAAGCCAGTCAGAAAAGATTGGATGAATTGTATGATATATGAATGATCTCAATAAAGTTGTTCTTTAAAAACCCATTTTACAAATAAACCATGGTGCAGAAATAAGCACATTGCTTAGTATTACATAGCTACTCTGCTGAGCTCATTCAAAGCAAAGAAACACATTTCCAAATCGCAACCTCTCGACGGTGAATGATTTGGGTTTGGGTTTGTTTTCCCCAGGATGGAAGTCATTTCCAGACTTTTCTTTGACCTCTGCCTGAGGAGCTGCCTGCATTAGGACCAGAACACGTGGGAGATGAACCAATGGAACATACTGGCTACAAGGACAGGCCCTCAGTAGGCAGCCCTTGGAATTACTTCCTTCTCCCTCTCTTCTCACAATATGTCTTTGTTGCTCTTCTCACAGTAGCTTGTAGGCTCTAGGAAAGCTGGAATTTTGTTTACCTCTGTATCCCAGCCACTAGTTTAGTTCCTGGTGTGATGAAGTGAACAATGGTTGAAATAATAAAGGGCAGTTCAGCCAGTGAATCAGGTGAGTTAATAGGGAGGTTTCTGACTTGGATGCTGGTAACACTTGCAGCGATGAAGGGGGTGGGGGGCACAGTACCAGGTCTAGGGGATATCTGAGTACACAGGAGATCTAGGAGGGTGGGTACACACAGGCAGATGTTTCTCCGAGTGCTTGTAGGGACCAGGGTAGCGCCCTGAATAGGGACAATGGCCCATTCCTAGACAATAAAGTGGATGGGACGGTGGCAGGCAATCTGGAGAGACCATGCCCCATTTCAAGGGACAGTTGGAGGGGAAGCAGGCAAACTGATTTTTCAGAAACTGAACACAGGGTTGCCATGTGAAACCTTTTCTGAAGGCCAAGGTTCTCCTGGTCACCTGTTTCTGGTTTCTGTTGGAACAATCAAGGCTTGAGTCGGCCCTAGGAGGCCTGGGCATGTGCGGTGGAGCTCACGTGGAGCCCGTGCTGGGTGGCCGGAATGGAGCCAGCCTCTCAGCTCAGTTTAGTGTCACTTGTTTTAATGATTACATCAAAGAATGATGCTAAGAAGGCAGCTGCAAAGTAGTAGCTTTCACAGGATTCCATTTTAAGCAAATATTAGAGAACTATGTTGGAGGAATATGCCCAACAATTAACAGAGGTATCTGAGGGTGGGACTATGAGGCCCTTTCCCTCAGTACTATGTATTTCTGGGTTTGAATTAATAATGACCACATATACATTTTTTAATATAGGTATTTTCTAACATAACCATGTATCCATATGTATGTGCAGGTAAACACATAGTGTAGGTACCTAAAGAACATACACCATATGGTTGACAGTGGTTACAGTGGATGTGTAGGGCTTTGTGCAGGTTGGAAGATACAAAGGAAATAGTTTTCTCTCTTTCTGTAGTGTTTGAATCTTATTTAACATGCACTCATGGGTTGTAAAAAAAAGCACACAAATAAAATGAAAAACTCCAGTGCCCAACGCCCCAATCCATCCACCCAATAGAACTCTCCCAGGTGGGAGGGAGGGGAAAACCTGTCAGGACACAGTATTATCTTCACACGCACGCCCCCACCCCCCCGCACCCCCCACCCTCCCAGGATCCAGCCCAATCCCCAAACCCAGGTGACACACACACCGAAAGAGGAGCCAAGGGGCCTCATTGTAACACTCATTTTTATATAAATATCCGCAAGTCATGTTACAGAATAAGCCCCACCTGGGAAAAAAGTCAACATTATGTTTTTGTTAAACGGACCCCTGCCTTCCAGGCCGGCCCCAGCTGCTTTGGGAAGGCCGAGCTGCTGCCCAGAGGCCGCTCAAGCTGCCTGTGGCCCACCCCGCAGACCCCCTTCTTTGGTGTGTGGTACATGGTGACCTTCTCCGGCCTCCGCAGCCTGGGCAGGGCTCTGGGAACGGGGCTCCAGAGAGCAGGGCCCAGGAGTCCTGGGGGCACTTGGAAACGGAGTAGGGGGCTGAGCCACTGAGAGAGAAGTAGACTCTGAAGCTTACAGGTTGAGCCTTTGGGGCTGGGGCACAGAGGTAACAGGAACAAGTGGGGGAACCTGGGCTGTCAGCCAAGCAGGAAGCATTTGCACTTCTTCCCAGCCCAGGTATCCAGGTCCCTTCCCCCATTGGTCCACTTCCTGCTGGATCCCAGATTCCTAGGATAAACCTTGGGCCTGCCTGTCGCCTTCCAGCTCTTCCCCTGCAGTCCCCTCCCCCCACAGAGAGGCCAGAGGCTAGGAACACAGCACCAGTCTGAGGATTTAATTAACCAGGAGGGGGTTATGGGAGGGGCACCCCTGTAAAAATGTACAAAAGGTCTCGGGGGCTATGTGGAAGGGGAGATAAATATGTACATGGAACTCCCCTTCCTGCAGCCCCTCCTCCCCCAACCCTGAGAGGGCATGAGGACTTGGGTGGTAGGTGAAGGGGAGGGGGGCACTTTGGCCTCTGGCTTAGTGAGCCCTTGGGGAGGCAGGCCAAGGGCCTAGGGGCCCTCAGGGGGCGATGGTGCACCTCAGGAGATCTATGAGCTATGACCTCTGAAATGACCCCCACTCTCTGTATGTGTACAGACACACACACACACACACACACACACACACACACACACCCTTCTCTAGAGGTTTGTGACCTCTGCCCTCCCAATGACCCCAAGGTTCATCTGATGCTTGATCTCCTGGGGGTTGGGGCTCTGTTCTCAGGTTCCATGACCTCAGAGATGGCTGGTGAGGTCACGACCTTTGCCCTCCAGCCCTGGCTTAAAACTTCAGCTCTAGGATCTTATCAAAAGGAAAGGGGAATGGAGCTTTGCCCCTGCCCCTCCCCTCCCCTCACCTGTCAGCCCGGGCTGGGCCAGGGGCTCTGGGTGGGGAACTAGGCCGGGGGGCGGGCACAAGTGGAGGTGGTGCCCCCAAAAGGGCTCCCGGTGGGGTCTTGCTGAGAAGGTGAGGGGTTCCTGGGGCCGCAGTAGGCGGCGGCGGAGGAGCCAAGCGGCTGTATAGCAGGGGATGGGCAGGCTCTAGACCATACAGGCGGGCAGCAGCCACTGCCCCTGGTCCAGTCAGCTCCTCGCCCGCCTCATAGAAGCGGGGTGGTCTTGCAAGGCGAGGGGGCCCTGCCAACCAGGCTGGCTCCAGAAAGCCAGCACAGCGCTCTGGAGGAGCAGGGCCCAGAAAGGGGGGTGGCCGGGGCCTCTCAAACAGCAGGTGAAGGCCCTGAGGGCCGGTGGCGGCGGCGGCAGCGGCGGCGGCGGCAGCGGCGGCAGCGGCGGCAGCAGCAGCCTCCTCTTTCCGCTCCTCCTTTACCCGCACCGACTCCTTGGCTGGCCTGGCCCCTTCCTCACCAGCCCGGGCCTTGGGAGTAGCAGGAGACACTCGGGGCTGGGGCCGCGAGAAGGGGCGGTCCCTGGGGCAGGTGGGGGAGAGAGTACAGGTTCTCCAGAGGTCAGGTGCAGGCTGAGGGGTGCGGGGGGCGGGGGGCAGTCTGCGGAAAGCATACCTGTCTTTCTCCTCCTTGGCGATGGAAGTCTCCCTCCGCTCCACAGGCCGCTCCTTGTCTGAGCCTGGTGTCCGGGCGGCCTCAGGGGGCCGGACCCAGGCAGGAAAGGCCAGAGGACTGCGATGCAGGCGACCCCACGGGTCTGGGGGGGAGACGAAGGCTGGTGGGGCCCCTGGGCTTTCTTTCTGGGCAAAGACGGCGCCGGAGTCTAGACAGAGGGCAAAGTAGAGAGTGACAGGAGCCAGGCGCGGGAGGCCCAATCAGGCACCCCCCTCCTGCTTGAACACATTAATCCGCTGCCACAGCCTCTTACCCACCCCGCCCAGGACTCACTGAATGTGGGGCTGCCCAGGCCTCCAAAGGCCCCGTTGGAGAGGGCAGCCAAGGAGGCGAAGCTTGTGGGACGCCCAAAGGGATCTGTAGGAGAAAAGGGAAGGTCAAAGCATTGGGTCACCCACTCCGAGAAGTCACCAAGAACTAACAGGGAAGAGGCAGATGGGTAAGCAGGCCCCAAAGCCCTCGGCTGCTTTGTCTTAACCCCAACCACCGGGTGCTCAGCACTTCCTTGGGCCAGGCTGGGCGATGCGCTCTGACATGCACAGCGCTGTTTACCCTCACAAGCCCATTAGGCACATAGGATCATTCCCACCCACAGATGGCGAGACAAGCTCTGAGAGGTGAAGTGACTTGCCGACAGTCAACCCAGGGCCTCTCTGACTCCAGAGGTCAAGCGTTTACCCCGCACTCCCCCCACCGCCACCCATTCGCGCTCTACAGCTGGCCAGCTGCTGAAACCTCTGCTGACTTCCTCCCGCTGACATGCAGAGCCCTTCCCAGCGTGACCCTAATTCCATGCACATGTCCCACAGCCAATCAGAACCACTAACCTATCCACTCTGGACCTCACCATTTCCTGCCAGGAGCACCTTGCCCTTTGCCAGCAGGCTCAATCCTCCTTGCCCACCCAAGTCCAGGTTAATCTCCCCCAACAGCCGGCCTGAGACGCTAGGAACCAGTGACCATGTGCTGTGCAGCCTTCCTCTCCCACGTGGCACAGTACCCTTCCACCGGCTGTTCTTTCAGAGACTATCTGGGTTGGCAGAGATTAGCAATCACTATGCCCTTTCCTATCCCATTTTACAGGCAATGAAATCAAGGCTCAGAGAGGGTAGAGTAATTTGCCCAAGGTCACAGAGCAAGTGGAACCAGATCTACCCCCATTTCAGCTGCCTTTAGGTCGAACTTCCATCCCAGCTTGAGAACTCCTGGCAGTCACAGACAAGGCCTGAGTTCCCACCATGTCCTTGGCTCTTACCAATGTGGGTGCCTGGGCTCAGAAAGGGTCCATGGGCCCCGGGGGCTGCCGTGAAGGGGTTGGCTGCAGCGTGGACGGCACCTGGGGCAGAGAGGTGGGAGATTCTGATGAGGCTGAGTGGGCGTGAGGTGGGTCTTGGGGAATATATGGGAACCTCAGGCCCCAGGAGGGCTGGCCAGACTCACCAGTTGCAGTGAAGAGGGAGGCAGCCGGGTGGGAGAGCTCCTGGCCAGTGGGCAGGGCCCCATAGGGCCCCGGAAGGCAGGGCAGGAGGTCGTTCCGAAAGTCAAGCTTGTGGGAGTCGCCCTGCATGGGACAGGGAGGGGCGGTGAGTGAGGAGCCAGATGTGTCCTTTGCTCTTCTACCCCTGCACCCCCTCCAAGGGCTGTCTGGCGCCAAGATGGGGACTGGGTGCCTTCTCTGAGCACCCTCTGGCTCGCCAGAGAACCTAGTGCTGGTTTTGGAATTGCTAAGGCAGTGACCAGAGATAGGATGGGATGTGTCTGGCCAAGATTCTGCCAAGCTCTACAGAAGGTAGACCCCCGAGTTCAGGCAGGCCCGCTCTCCCCAACCCTCCGGCCCCAGTACCTTCATCTTTTCCTGGTGTCTCAGGATCATGTAAGCCACGCGCACGTGCATAGCACACCACTTCCCTGGTTTCTGCCGCCCCAGAAGGATGACCAAAGGGAAAGGGAAGGAAAGAATGTTCACTCGTCACCCACTCCGGGCCTGGCCCTGGGCCAGACTTGCCACACAACATCTCCTTTTACCATCCCTACAAGTGAGGGATGAGCAAGTCCATGTCACAGCCTAGGAAACTGAGGCTCAGAGAGATGAGCTGTCTTGCCCAACGTCCCACGACCAGTCACATCTGAACCCAGGTCTCTGGCTTACAGCCCTTTCTCTTTCTGCTGTTCCACATCCGGCTGCCTCCAAGCTTTGGATTTCTCACTCCTTCTCAAGCATGACCTCCCCCACCCCTCAGCCAAACACCCTGACACCAGCCCCCAGCCTCATGCAGCCTGAGGCCCTCACCACACTCACCCTCAAAGGTGGCCGGAAATGGTCAGGGATCTGGGGATGGCAAAGCAGATTGGTGGCGATTCAGACCTGTTTACTGACCCGGGCACCTCATATCCACAGCCCCCAATCCGCCCCCAAACATCTCCTGGAGACCATATGTGGCATCCTCAATCCTTTCCTGCTTTCCCTACCTCTCCCACTCCGAGCCTCTCTGTCCAGCACTCAGTTCCTGAACCAGGCTCCAAGCAGCTTTGCTGGGAAGACGGAGTGGTTGTGGGCAGGCAGAACGATTTCTCCACAGAAGCTGTCCTATGGTAGCTTTGTGAGGGTCTGTGTAAGCTTTCTTTAGAGAAAAGCCTTTATTACTGCTAAGAGGGTTGGAAAAACCTCTGGTCTAATCTCTCCTTTAGGAAATACATCCTGTTTTTCACACTATCCCAGCCCTGGACTCTGAGTGGGAGGGAAGGCTTGGTCTCCTTGTGCCACTTCACAAAGAGACAACTTATCTTTTCACTGTTTTATAGACAGGACTTCCTGGTATGATGTCATTATGGGGAGAAAAAGTTTTGTAACTAAAAAAAAATATATTGATATATTGAAACCCTTACAAAAACCACTGCCCTAATAATCTTATTTCTTGGGCAACTTCATGAAATTCCCATTCCTCATGCCTGGGAAATCCTGCCATTTACATGAACTCTCTCACATCATGTTCTCAGGAACACCCCCAGCATGTGTCACCAGGAGGATCAGTCAATGATTCATTCTCAAGTCCACCCTGCTCTACTCAACAGACTTCCAATCCCAGTGGAACCTGCCTCGGCCCCCTCACCTGTGTCCCCTTTTGGGGAAGCCCGCTTGGCATTGGCCCCAGTCGTGGTGGCAGCTCGGGGTTCATGCTCTGGGAAAGGGGAGTGGAGGGAACAGTCAGGAGAGCTGGCACTAGGCAGAAAAGGGGTCTATCACCACGCTGGGGACTGGGACAGGGAGGAACTATGGCTTTAGGGAAATCTGGGGCCACAGGGCAGGGCAGAACGGGCATGGTTTGGAGAATGGGAAGACGGTATGTGGACCTGGAGGCGTTTGGGTTTTAAGGGGTGGGAGGTGGTGACAGTGTCTAGATTGGGAGCTCACCTTGGGCTGGAAAGCCCCCTGCAGGGAGCCAAAGGAGACAGCCGGCGGGAGGCCCGGCGGGAGGCCGGGCACTGCGGGAGGGAAGGCCGTGTACGGCTGTGGAGAGAATGGGACTCGTCCAATCTGGGGGTGGAGGTGCAGCCCACATCTGGTCTGCCATCAGTCCTCTGGCCTCCACCCTAAGCCCCCCAGGGAGTCCAAGGCTCTTGCTTTTGAAGCTGAAGATTGGACCGCCAATAGGGTCACACGCACTAATGCATCTATACCCACACACCACACACATGCACTCACATTATGCCGGAAAAGGCCTTCCATCTTTCCTGGGTATTTCTCAAACTAGGGAAGAGAAGGGAAGAGTAAGCTGCTAGCCAGAGACCCGGGCCTTCCCCTGAAGCCAGACCCTCCCCCCAAGCCTCTGAGCCTCATCACTGGCTCAATGAGGAGCTCACCATGTGGGGGCCGTGGGGTGGCAGCAGGCCTGGGGGGTAAGGGGTGAAGTGCTGGTGGGTGTGCTGGTGGGTGTGCTGGTGCTGGTGGTTGTGCTGGTGGAACTGGAAGGCCAGGGGCCGGGCTGAGCCCCCTGCCCCCACCACCTCAGGGTAGCGAGAGTTCAGGTCCTGGCCGATCAGGTCCTGCTCTGTGGGAGGGGAGGGGAGAAGGCTTTAATATCTGTCGCCCCTGTCAGCCTCCTTGGGCCTGGATGACTGGCCTTTCCTTCTGGCCTGAGCCACTCCCTCCTCAAGCCCTGCAGTCTGCTACGGTCCAGGTGCCCCAAAGCTGACTGGGCCCAAGCCCAGGGTCACTGCCCCCCACCCCCCGGCCAGGACCCCAAACTCACCAGAAAGGGCGTTAGCAGCTGAGGCCCCAGGGTGCCCTGGCACCTGCAGCAGGGGTGGGGGTGGGGGCAGGGTGGGGCCAGGGGAGAACAAGGAGGGGTGGTGGGGCGGTGGGGGGGGCCGCAGCCCAGGGGGAGGAAAGCTGTGGTTGGACAAAGGCAGGGGCAGTGAGGGCGTCGGGGGCCGGTGGGTGAGCTGCGCGGACGAGGAGGAGGCAGATGAGGAGGAAGAGGACGAAGAGGATGATGAGGGGGGAGGTTGAGCCACGGGAGGGGCCGGGGCCTTGGGGGGCGGCCGTGAAGAGCTGGGGAGAGAAGTGGGGAAATGAGTGAAGGGTTGGGAGGTGCCAGCTCTGACAGGAGTGGGTCAGAAGCCTGGGCGATACCTTGACCCTGGTTCTCCAACATGGAAGGTGGTAGAACCTGGCCCCCAGGATCTCCACCCCCCACAAGGAACCCGTCCTCAGACTAAGGTACCTCCCACAACCAGCACCCCCTCTCCCCTCGCTAGGTCTCATCTTCCACACAGCTGCCTCTGCTGTTTCTGGCCATGTGACTTTCCCTTTTCTGATTCAACCACAACACAAAACATATCATTCACTTTGACACTTAATTACAACAGGCCACCTGGGTCCCTACCCTCCTAAGACAGTGGAAGCAGCACCCTGCTGGCCTGACCTAGGAGTGCAAGGTCCAGCTTGCCATTAACATCCTGGGTGACCTTGAGCAAGTCACTGCCCCTCTCTGAGCCTTAGTTTTCTCAATAAGAAAAAAAATAACATTGATGGCAATAACAGAGATCGCATGAATAATAATAGTGTCAATAACTCTTACCCTTTAGTGAGCACTGACTGTAGGCCAAGTGCTGTCACTTGTTTTATACGCTAATCCAAGACTCCAACATTTCATACCACTTCCCAATCGCTGCGCATCCATGTAACCACCTGTGCCTTTTACTTCTTTAACATAACTCAGCTTTCCTTTTGAACTTAGCTTCACCCAAGCCACAATGTGTGAAACCAAGGAGTGAGATACTAGTCATATTTCTCTAAAGCACAAACTGAAAAAAATGTGCTCACGTAACATCTGAAGTCACTTCACCCAGCACTGCTGATGAGTGTGCACACTTTGGGAAACACTGCATTAACTCACAATTCTCACAACAGCTTTAGGATGAGGCACTATTATTATTCCATTTTATAGGAAGAGGAAATTGAGGCTCAGAGAGGTTAAGTGACTTCTCCATCATCACATAGCCAGTAAGTGGCAGAGCAAGAATTCAAATCCAGGTCTGACACCAAAGCCAGCACTCTTAATCATGACAGCATTTCCCAAAGCATGTTCTAAGAATACTACTTCTAGCAGACGTGCCTTACAAAGAGGTCTCATCAGCAAATAATACTGAGAAAAGGCACAAACTGGATTCCCCTGCATGTGAATGTATAAAGCGTTCTGATGAGTTCTGTGGTAGTCTCTTTCAATTTGTTTCATCCAGTATCTTTCAAACTTTTCAGTCTCATCATCCTTTTTCAAATCATATTCCAAAGGTGCTATCCCATGTCCCAGCCACAGAATGTAGGGGTTACTGCCAAAATGACCAGGCCTTTCCAGACCGGACCACTCACCTGCCAGTGCTGAGGTCCAGGCTGCTGTAGGGAGAAGTGCGGATGCCAAAGGGTGAGACCCGAAGCTGCAGCTGGGGTGGGGGTGGCAGACTGGGGGTGGCCGGCAGGGGTGCAGGGGGTGAGACAGGAGGCCGAGGGGCTGGTGGAGGTGGTGGTTCCTTCGGGGGAAAAGGCACTAGCAGCGGATCGGGCCCTGGGGGCTGTTCCTGGCTCCGCTCCAGGCCCGACACTTTAGGGACTATGGAGAGTTTTGCTTCACAGTTCCCATTGAAGGCGCCATGCGGGCCCGAGGCTGTGAAGGCAGGACAGCAAACATTCCATTAAGACCCCGCTTACCCTAATCTCCTCCCTTGTCTCCAGCCCCAGCCCTTGGAACCAACCTTTGCTGGTTGAAACAGTAAAGGATGGGTCGAGGTCATCATCGGAGACCTGGGGAAGAAAGGTAGGGACAGGGTCAGGCTCTGGTTAGGCCAAGCCCTTATCGAGGAAGGCCAACAACTTCTGAGCCTACTAGGAACTGGCAGTGGGGGCAAGTCTATTCCACCACCTTAGCTGAAACCCATCAAAGACTACTCAGGGCAGCGTTCGCCAACCTTTCAGACCGCTTGGACTACCGGTTGGCGACCGCTGCTCTGGGAGCAAATGCTTGAGGAAAAAGGATGGAGGCAGCTGAGCCTGAGAATCTGATTGACCAGGAGGCCTAAATCGCAGCAGCACTTAAAATAGCAAAGAAGCAAGGAAATAAAACCAAACAGGTATCACTAACTGCTGGCCAAGAGGCCTACCTGGTGTATTTGTCTGGTTCGTAAGTTTTAGCAAAAATTAGTAATAGCCAAAACCGGTTTGGCTCAATGGATAGAGCGTCGGCTTGGGGACTGAAAGGTCCCAGGTTTGATTCCGGTCAAGGGCATGTACCTTGGTTGCGGGCATATCCCCAGTAGGGGGTGTGCAAGAGGCAGCTGATCGATGACTCTCTCTCATCGATGTTTCTAACTTTCTATCTCTCTCCCTTCTCTCTGTACAAAATCAATAAAATATTTTTTTTTAAATTAGAAACTAATTGCTGGTATTTAGATATCCAGATTCCTCATAAAAATTCCGACTTGCATGGCAACAATGATCTAGTATTAGAAGGTGGCTGCCCCCTTTATATGATAAGAACTCTCTGGTTCATCACAGTCCCTGTCTAGCCAGCTTTAAAAATTAACACAAGACACATCAGGGAGTACAAATTTAGTTAGTGACAGAGGTAGAGTCCCAACTGTTAGGATCCACTATTTCATAATAAGCAAATTAGCCTTATTAGTAAACTGAAAAACACCTTTAGAGTGTATGTCCTCACACTGACTACAATGGTTTAGTAAGTAGCCTCAATGCCATGACCACAGTCCCTGCTGAGACTCATCTGTTAAAGACTGAGGAAGGACCCCTGTTCCAGAGCTACTCTGAATGTCTGGAGAACCGCTGGCACCTCTAAGGCTTTAGCCTATGATGGCGCAAAACAGGGGCCTTCTCTTCTTTGGTCAGCTGGCTCTAGTGACCAAGGAAACGAAGTCATTTACTCTCTCACTCCACCCCCCCTCCCAATCTAATGCTGGCTCCACTAACTCATACTTCCTACTCAAGAGGAGGCTCTGTCTGCTGCACACAGGAGCCTGTAAGCGGCAGTCCCTTTTACAAGCTGTGCCACTGCCCACCCAGCGAATTATAGCCCAACTTACCCTCTCGTCCAGGTCGCTTTCGGCATCACACTGGGGAGAAAGACAGACAGAGGCGTCACAGAGGATGGGCACAAAGTAAGTGTGGGCTTTCAGAGGGAGGACGGGGAGGGGCCGTACAGGCGGAGAGCAGAGCGCACTTACTATGTATCCGGCTTCCACCGAGTGCCGGGAGGAGACCTGAGAAAGACCAGAGTCCAGAGGTAAGGGAGGCTGACTGGGAGGCCTTTGGATCGTCTACACTCCCAGCAAGGCACCCAGGGCCCCTCGTCACCTCTTTAGCTGCTTCTGCTGCTACGGCCCACCCTGTTCCCAAAGCTCTGGCCACTGTCCAAACATACCGGACTCTCCTATCTCTGTGCTTCTGTCCAAAACAACTTTGCCCGGTTTCTCCCCTGAGCAAACTTATGACTATTCTTCAAGGCCTGACTAAGATACCCTAGGGGGCTTTCCCTAACCACAGCCCCTCCCATCCCCCCAGGCAGAATGAGTGGCTTCCTCATGTGGGTTTCTAAGCTCCTCTCCCAGGCTCAGCTCCTCTGGGCTTGGTATAGGTGTTTGCTCAGAGACTGTCTTTCCTACTAGACAGCCACCTCCTCAAAGGGGCCGGCAGAGACATACCTAATTCATTTAAGACTCAACTACGTCCCTTTGCTATGTTGGAGGTAGACCTAGTGCCAGGCAGGCAGGTCTGTGGACATATCTTTGTCCAACTTGGAGGGGGATAAGTTGGCTCTGCTTTTCATCTTTGCCTGAAGATTGCGATCACCGTTTATATGGGTAGTGGCATTGTTGATGGAAAATGGGGCTAGGTGAAAAGATGTTCTGGGTTTTAAAGGGCAGGGACCTAGGTAGGACAAGCTCACCTCTTTCCTTCTCCGCTTATTGGGCCATTTTCGGGCACGATCTCCGGAGGGCCGGCCAGGCTCCCGGTCAGAGCTGTCCCCTGGCTCCCCAGTGGCCCCACTGGAGCCCCCCCTCTTCCGCTTCCCCGAGTGCTTCAGCCGGTGTTCCAGTCGCTCTGGGGGCTGGAGAGAGGCATCCTTCTGTGGAGGAGGAAGCGGGACTAAAGTAGACGGAGAAAGGAAAGCTCCCGACCTTCTAGGGGTGACCAGGCTACCGAGTGGCTCAGGCCAGGCCAACCTTTCGGACCGCACGGACCCCCAGCTGGTCCCCGGGGACTAGCTCTACCTCCTCCCACCCCAGGGCGGGGCAGAGGCCTGGCCAGAGGAGCCGGTTGCTCTGGTTTGGGGTGCCAACATTCCCCCCTCAACTCCACCCACTCCGGGCCCCGTACCCTTCCCTCTGCTCCTTGAAGCCCCCAAGGTTCCCGGCCCCGGCAGGCCCACCTGCAAGGCCTCGAGGCTGGCGAAGCTGGCGATGGCGAAGCCATCGATCAAGTCCTCCTCCTCTTCCTCCTCCTCCTCCGGCTCTTCTTCGGCCTCCCCGTCGTCCGCACCCCCCCCCTCCTCTTCCTCCTCTTCCCCGCGACTGCCGGAGCCCGCGGGGCGCTTCCGAGCTCGGGGTCGCGGTGGCCGAGGCCTGGGACGGGGCCGCCGCCGCCTCGGGCCTCCGGGCCGCTCTCCAGACGAAGCTGACGACCAGGGCCTGGCGGGCGGCGGCGGCGATGACGATGACGAGGAGCCGCGCGGGGCAGCCAACAGGGCCCGGGGCGCGTCGCCGCCAGGACCGCGGCGGCGCCGCTGCTCCCGGTCTCGGTCTCGGCGCGAGCAGCGCCGCCGCCGCCGCTCTCCCTCAGCGGCCCAGCCCGGGCCCGGAGCCGCGGCCGTCTCCATGGCGACCGCCTTCAGTGCCGCATCCGGAGGCGGCGGGGCCCGGAGCGGCCTGTCCGCAGGCCCAGGGTCGCAGGCGCGGCGTTGGCGGCTGCACGGGGACGAGAGGGCCACGGCTTCCTTTTCAAAGCAGGATCTGCTGGCCCTGAGCTTGCCCCAAGGCCAAGGCCTGGGGAGCCGGCGCCGCCCCCGGGGCGACAAGCCCGAGGGTCCCCACCCCCCCAGTGGGGCCGGCAGGGCCAAGACGGCGAAAACGGGGCGGCCGTCCCTTTAAGGCGAAATCTCAAGTTGTCCAGCCCCTGGCCCCTTTAAGACGACCCGACGGTGTCCGGCCGGCCTAGTGCGGTGGCCGCCCCTTGCCAGGGGGTCGAGACTAGTCTCCCCAAAGAAGAGGAAGGGCCACCCCTTTAAAAGGGACAGAAAGCTCTCCCCGAAACGCAGACCTCCCCTTTAAAAGTGTCTCAGGTCCTCCGGCTAAAAGAGGCCACCCCTTTAAGGAGTCCTGGGTCCTCAAAACAGCAGGCCGCAGCTTGAAAGGCTCGAGAGTTTGTTTCCAGTCCTCCACAAGCGGCCACTTCCCTTTACGCTGAATTTAAAGGACTTTCTGAAGTGGGGAGGAAGAGGAGAGAAGAATCCTCACTCGCTCCAATTCTCCCAACAGCAGTTTTCAATTTGTCAGCTCCTGTTAGGCGGCTTCCCCTTTAAGGCTGGCGTTGTAGTCTGCCGAATTCAGTGGCCACCCCTTTAAGGAGATTTAAAGGGGCTTCCTCCAGTCCCAGTTCTTCCAGCCTCCGCCTCCAGTCGCCATGAAAGGCGCGAGGGGGGCGGGGCCGCGGGGGCCAGCCCTCCAAAGCCCCGGATGTGAGGCAACAGTGACGGGTAGAGCTTCTCTGTCTGCCGACATAAAAGTCTCTTCCTCCTTTCCTCGTCTCTGTGTGACTCGCTCCTTAAGGGATCCGAAACAGCCGTTGGTCAGCGGGGGAGCTTCAGCGCACCCTCATGCTGTCTCCTTTGGAGTCTTGGGCCTCTTCTCCGGCAGGACTTCCCTACCCCCTCCCGCTTCCTCAGCCTACGCCTCCTTCCTCTCTCTGCCTCCTCCCACTCTTCGCCCCCTTCCCCTCACCCCTCCACGGGTTTAGTCGTTGATTGGTGGAAAAGTGTACGTCAGCGCGGGGGCGGAGCCAAACTCGGGGAGTGGGTGATTTGTAACCGCCCTCAAGTTCTGGATTGGACGTACGTCAGATTAGTTCCGTCCTCCACCGAGTCTCGTGACTCGACTGGCTAGGAGTAGGTGCTGGGGCGGTCCCGTAGGTGACTCCGCCTTCTCCCAGCCTCCGCTCATTGGCCCACCTTCTGACGGCGTCCCGGCGTGGAGTCCAGGGGCGTGGGAGGCGGTTGGCCGCTGGGCGGCGCGCCGCTGCGGAAGCTCCCCGTCGGCAGCCAGTTACGTCGTCTCTTTCCGCCGCCCGGCTTGGCTCCACGCGCACGCGCTGCGGCGCTGACGTCCGGCGGCCGCCCGTCAGTATTCGCTCCGCGGCGGAGCGAGTGGCCGGAACTCGTGGTGCGCGGCGACCGCAGGACGCGCAGGGAGGAGGCCGCGTCGCCTTCTCTCGGTTCCGTGGGAGCGTGCTGGCCTGTGCCTGCGCGCTAACAGAAGAAACGCCTTGCTCTTCCGGGCCCGGCACTTTCCCACATACTGACTCATTGGGGCGTAAGAATTTTTTCAGGAAGATACTCTCCTGAGCCCCATTTTACAGAGGGGTAGGGCACTGACGCACACACACTTAGTTTCCGAACCAGGATTTGTGCTCAGGCCTAGCCCTCGTTCTAGAGTCTGTGCTCTTAGCCTCTGGTTGCCTCTGGTTGGCTGATTATTCTTATGTAGATTCGGCACTGCTGCACTCACCGCCTGTATGAAATGGTACAACGCCCCTCACTGGGTTCGGTGCACAGTGGGCACCGCTGACAGTTGGTTGTAGTTGATTTGGCTCTGGACCCCAGCAGCAGGTGCTGGCCTACATGTTAAGAGGACTTTGGGGCCGTGGTCCACTCTGAGACTTTCAGTCTCCTCTTTGCTGTAAGTGATTTGGAATAACCCTGACCAGGGTCCCAGGTCACAGTATCTTCTGGAGCAGTTCAGACGTATTCCTCCACACAGGAATACTCGCAAGTAAATTGAGTATCTCCAATGACCATTCCCCACTCCCTCGCTGTGTCTAACCCTCATTGCCTTCCCCGACCCCTTTCCCATTTCCCAGTCGCTAAAGTAGACACATCAGCCAATAGTGCCAATCAATTTTAAATTCAACTAGGAACATACAAAAGCATCAGAAACATAACTGAAAACATAGAAATACCGAGGAAAAAAATAAAATGGTGTCAGAGGCTTCCTTCCCTCCAGGATGGATGTACAGATAAACAGATGGAGCTCCTAGGGCAGATGGGGCTGCTCCCTAATCCACTTCCTCCTCTTCCAGGAGCAAGGCATCCAGCTCCTCCAGCCGCTGCTGCAGCAGGGGTCCCACATCTGGGCTGGGGGCCAACTTGGGAGTAAGGGTCCTGCCAGCAGCAGCTCGGACCCCACGAGATGGCCGCCGGGATCGAGGAAGGCTGCTGTCCCGAAACTCCACAGCACGCCGCAGCTTCTTCGAGCTGGTCAGAATCAGAGTCCCATTGCGCACCCGGGGTTCCTCAAAGATGGTCTCAAATGTCCTGGGCCAGGCAGGGAGAGGTGCTGGTTACCAGCACGCCTCTGGTTCTAGTCTTCCCTCTATCACCCCCAAGCTTTTACCGTTTCTCACCTCCTGGTTGTAGGGGACTGATAATTCTTGTTGGTGTAAATTTCTTCCAAGCTGAATTCCTTCTTGTTCAACCTGGGAGCAAAGAGCAAAGGCCACTGAGAAACCTGGGCCAGTGGAGCCTGGAGAAGGGATAAGCAGGGCTGCTCTGTGTTTCAGTTGCTGGGACATGGCAGATCCAGGAGAGCTGCCTAAGGCAGACAGATAGTTCTAAGCACAAACCACCAGACTGGACTGTACTCCCTGAGAGGAGACAAATCCACACTTAAGGGAATGTGAGTCAACATCTGTTTAGCCCCAAGGCAGCTCCATGTACAGTGAGCATTCACCTGATCGGTCGCGGCAGCCCCATTGGTGTGAGGTTTAGCTGAGGACGGGCCGGTGTCCTGCGTATTCTAAATCGAGAGACCTTTCCCATGGTCTGCAAAAATGGGCAGGGGGTCAGAGTGCAGTATGGGCACAGGTTCCCACTCTGCTCCTCCCCCGCATCTGTATCCCTACCTTGGTCTCAGGGTCTGAAAGCACTTGGTCCTCTGAGGCCCGCGGCTCCTTGCCCTTGGTTGAGCCCAACCTACAGAGAAGATCAAGGCTCAGGGACAAAAAATATTCATAGCAGTATCCCCATCTCCTGCCCTTGGACACGAGGGCAGGAAGGCCAGGCCCAGACTGCGGCCAGGGGCTTAAGGGTTTATTGAGAGCACTACCTGGGTTCTGCAGGTTCCGAGAAGGAAGAAGTAGATGCAGAGGACGAACAAGATGTGCCGAGGGGAGGAGAGCCTCCCACTCCTCCAAGCGGGAAGACCTCTTTCCGGAGACAGGGTCGAGGGGGTGGTGGGGCTCCAGCCATCTCTCCGCCACCCACAGTGTGCCGTCGAGGCCGTGGCCGGCTTGGGTGGTGTGGAGCAGGAGGGCAGCTGCAGGTGTCTGAGCCAGGAGGCCCCAGGTCAGGGCAGGAGTGGCTTCGGCCCAGAGAGGGCTTAGGGGGAGATGCTGGGAGAGTGTGGGCTTGGGCTCGCCACTGGCGGATCGGGGGGCGGGGACTGACAAGTGCAGTTTCCTCAGCAGCCCTGGACTGCTCAGCCTCCGAGATGGCAATCTTCAACTCCAACTTCATGGGAGGTGATGGGGGTGGGGGCTGTGGGGCTTTGACCGGGGTGAGGAAGATGTCTGCAAAGCTCTCTAGCTTAGAGCGGACAGAACGGAAGAGAGGAGCCAAGCCCCAGGGACTGAGGCGAGGGCGTAAAAGGCTGGACGGCGGTAGGGTGGATGGGGCTTCCAGAACCGGATCTGGGGCTGAGGAAAGGAGAGAGTCATAGGTGGGCATTCCCCATTTTAGTAACTTCATCCCCTCCCCAAACACTAAACTGCCCCCAGAGGAAGCCTATTCAAAAAAAAAAACAAAAAAAAAACACCCTAAATTTGAGAGTGGGACATCAGGCCTCTGAAGTCAAAAATCCCTTCTTCACATACCAAGTTCTGCCCTGGGAGGGGTGAAGCCCCTCTGCACCTGACACTGAACAGCTCAGCTGGGGTTTCCCATTGCCCATCTCATCCCTCTGTCTCTGTCCTTACTTGGTGGTGGGTTCTCCAGAGGGTCTGCAGGCAGGGCAGACGGCCGGAATGGGGGTTCCAGGTCCCTGGATGGAGGCTTTGTCTGGTGAATCTTCATCATGGACTCAGCTCTGGGGTAAAGGGGCAAGGTAAAAGCTAGGGAAGCTTCCAGATCCAGATTCTACCCGAGCCAGCACCTCCCCTGTCCCTTAAGGCTAGTGAAGGTGCTACATGGAACTACTGAACAAAACAACCTAATACCCCTAGTTCTGGCTGCCTGTATGATGGTTGTCTGGATATCTTAATAATTCCTTCCCCGGCCCTCTCACCTTCTCGCTGGGACGATGAAGTTGGGAGTCTCGTCCGCCAAGTCCTGAGTACAAACATGGGATGTTTGTGGGGAGGCAGGGAAGCCTCCTTAGCTCCCCACATCCCAGCTCTTAGCCTCCAGATGCCTGCCGGGGTTTACACTAAAGGCTTTGCATTTGGTCTTTGCTCCAGCGGTATCGCCCACCTGAAACACTGACCTCTTTTCTCCGAGCAAAATCTACCCCCGACTCAACTCTCCTGTCTTCCGCCCTCGCTGGAGTGCCTGAGCCCAGCTGCACCCCTGGCATCCTTCCCGGAAGTTCGCATACCTCAGCCGGGGGTCCG